TCCTGAAGGTCCTCACATGAGGACCTGCCCAAGGAGGCACTCCAGGGACAGAAGGGTTTCCCTTGCCTTACATCTCAAGAGTTCTCTGATCAAGAATCTGAACCATCTCGGCTCTGCTGTCATGTTCATAAATATAGCTTTGTAACATCTCCCTGCCCTTACCTCATCTTATTATGTTGATTTTTTTAGAGACACTGTGCATAATCACGCTGATTATTTCGAGAGAACTCAAGAAGGGGCCAACTTCTGCCCCACAAGCCAAAGGTGGCAGCATGATGAGGAACCTCTGGGGGTACTCAGACCAGCAGTCACCCACACACGTCGCCTTGCCCCCCAGCCCCCTGCTCAGAACAGGGATGTGCCCTTCTCCCTCCTGAGAGCAGGAGGCAGCCCGTGGACACCTCCACTTCCTCCAGACTTGCGGGAATCAGGACATGGAGGAGGGTTTGAATACAGACGTGAGGATTGGGAGTGTGATGGGTGACCCTCTGCTTGTCCTTCCAAAGAAATGCTCCACTGGCCATGCTCTGTGTGGTGTGGCAGCCCCGGCCCACCCAGAGTGGACAGGGCCCCGGGGGCTCCTTGTCCCATGCCAAGCCCAGTTGGTCACCCTGCAGGGAGACAGCATTGATGTCAGCCCTCATGGTAGAGGAATTAGCTGAAGCCCAAAGGGAAAGAGAGGCCAAAAAAAGAAAAATTCAATCCAGCCACACCAAAGCGATTTCTTTTTAGTCTGTGAGGCTCTTAGCAGCTGTTAAGCTTTGCTGGATTTTGATAGTAAGAAAGTTTCCAAAAATAGAACAGTGAAATGTCAGAGTTAATGGGATCACAGCAATAAAGCATCTGTACTACCAAGCAGCCTGACTTTGTTAGCTCGACGGGCTCGACGACATGAGGGTTGCCCAGCACAGAGCAGCGCCCTGGGCTTTCCTGTCCCATCCTGAGTGCCCCCCCCCAACACCCACACACCTGCCTGAGAGGAGAGCGCTCGGGCTTGAATTGGTAAACACATTGCAACTCGAGGTGTCTTTAAGGCAGTGTTCTTTATCAAAGCCAGGGCAAACAAATGGCTTAACTAAAAGGCTAGCTTCATTATGTATATTTTACTGTAATAGAAACATAAATATAAATATACATATACACATATGTGTGTGTGTATATTATATATGCACATACGTGTGTGTGTGTGTATATTATATATGCACAGACGTATATCAAGGTAGCAGCTAGCTGCTTCCAGACACATGAGGAAAGAGGCATGTGTTGGGTCAGCCCCCCGGTGGGGTCCCTGCCACCCGCCCCCCAGCCCCACTCTCTGCTCACTTGATGGATGATGGCAGATTCTCTGCTGTGGACCAGAGACCGGCGCCGCCTCACCCTGCATGGCGACCAGGCACAGGACTCCCCCAGCCACTCCGGTTTTCTCAAGGGGTGCTTCCTCTCTAAACCCGGAGACCTTCCAAGAAATCCTGTAGGCGACAAGAAGAACGACCTCACCGTGTGTTGACTCTTCTCTTTCTCCATCTCTTGTGGGAGGACGTCCCTCCTTCAGCATCGCAAAGCATTCCCCAAGGAAAGAGAGCGTTTTGGAAACCGTAGGTAGGAGGAACTCATCACCGTTTGCTGTGGCACTTCGAGGGGCTTGTTGCCGTCCCAGAAACAGATGAGAAAGGAGACCACTGATGAAATCCTGCTGCTGGCGCTGATACAGAGGAGCCCTGGCTGCTTTCCCCCTTGGCGTCCTCAGCATTCCTGAGCTTGACGTCCCTTGACCCGCGCCGTTGGCCGTTTCCCATGAGAAATTGACGATGCAGAATGGAGGAAGTGGGGAGGCACGTTAGGTGCAGGCTAGCGCCCTGGGGGACCGCAGCCTCCTGCAGGCCACATGGACCCCTGTAACACCGGCCACACTAAAGCACAGGGAAGCGCATGGTGGGGCGGGGGAGGGGTGCTGGGTACCAAAGGTGATGTCACCCAGTCAGAATTCCCTGGGTTGCATCCTCATCCCAGTACTCTCCTTTTTTTTTTTTTAAATTGATTGATTGATTGATTGATTGGGAGGAGGAGCAGCGAGAGAGGGAGAGAATCATAAGCAGGCTCCCTGCCCAGTGCAGAGTCCAAAACGGGGCTCGATCTCACCCCCCTGACATCATGACCTGAGCCGAAATCCAGAATAGGAACTTCCACCAACTGAGACACGCAGGCGCACCCCCAGGAAATCCTGATTTCAACAAGCAGGACCACTAAGGGGTCAGGAGTTTGAGAAGCGAGGCTCAACGATGCCGCCCACCAGGTCTCTGCCCATCCCGGGGCCCAGTGCATTTTGTGCAAGAGCTCGTTTCCCTGTAGGTTCCGCTCCTGAGCCATAGCTGAAGCCATGCTTTTCCCGAGAGATTTTGGTAAACATGACAACTGCTTTAAAAGAGAAGGGAAGGCAACTGAATGAGCTGTCTGCTGCTAGGCCCACCAGAGCTGTAAGCACAGGCCTTAGAAAGGACTTCAGAGGGGATCCAGGGCAGTGAGCGCTGGCTGTGTCTGCTCTCCAGCGGGGAAGCAGACGGGACCCGAAGGACTCAGGCAGGTGTCTAAGTTCTGTCCAGGTTCTGCTCCATGTCCCCTGCTTTTGTCACTGTCCTCTCCTGAACCCAGACTGGTCCACGTTTGCCAGAGGTTTCATACTTGCTGCCACGATTCTCTCTACCTACAAGTTCACCAAATCTAGACTTTAAATTGCAGGGTCCTTATGAGCCTTATTTCTATGGCGCTGACGAGTTCTGTCCCTCTTGACTACTGCCAATAAGCAGTGAAATCCCAGAGCTGAAACCCTCCATTTTTGTGAACTATCCCTTGCCCTCACCCAGGAAAGCATTTGCTCTATACAACTGATGTCAAAGGTGGTCCAACAAATGCTTCTCTGACTTTTAACAGAAGGAGAACAGTCTTAGCGGCCCATGGCTAGATTAGTTTGCTGGGCCTGCCACAAACCAAGTACCACAAACTGAGGGGATTAAAGAACAAAAATTTAAAATTTTTTTTTTTTTAGGGATGCCTGCGTGGCTCAATCAGTTAAGCCTTCGGCTCAGGTCATGATCTCAAGGTCCTGGGATCCAGTCCCACATCTGGCTCTCTGCTCAGCAGGGAGTCGGCTTCTCCCTCTGCCTCTGCTGCTACCCGGGCTTGTGTGCTCGCTTGCTCTCTCTCTCTCTCTCTCTCTCTCTGTCAAATAAATAAATAAAATCTTAAAAAAAAAAAAAGTTACAAAGCATCACAGCAAAGGAAACCATTCCAGATAGTTGCAGACTTTATCTTTAGCGTTTAGTATGTGCAAGGCTGGCTGACTTTAATCTTAGGGAGATCAGGGAGGTGTTTTTTGTTTTTCTTATATTTATGTTTGGAAGGTTCCTTTTTGATTTTGTTTGTTTGTTTTTTAACAAAGCAGACTTACCATGCATGCTCAGGGTGGAAATACAGCCCATGCTTTTGAGGTTGTGCCAGGTCATTTTGGCCTTGGTAAATGTTAAAGGATAGCTTCCCTGGGAGACCAGGAGCAGGTCCACAAATATTAAAGTTGAAAATGCTCTTTATCAGTAGGTATGAGGATGTGGCTGTCGTGACTGGTAAGAGATTGTGCAGGGTCTTCTGTCCTGGTCTAGGAAACAAGGTCTTGATCTAGTGAGATCTGGAAAGCCACTGACCAGGAGGATGTCTGGGAGACACTGCTTTTAGATTTTCCGTATTCGTGAAAGATGGGGAATGAAAGGTGGGATGTCAGGAGAAGGTTAAGATGAGTATGTCAGCAGTTAACTTGAGAAGTTAATAGCATGCAGATGGGGACCCCTGGGTGGCTCAGCCGGTTAAGTGCCTGCCTTCATCTCAGGTCATGATCCCAGGGTCCTGGAACTGAGTCCGCATGGGGCTCCCAGCTCAGCGGGGCGTCTGCTTCTCCCTCTCCCTCTGCCTGCAGCTCTACCTGCTTGTGCTCTCTCTCTGTCAAATAAGTAAATAAAATCTTTAAAAGCACGCAGATGGAGAATGCCCCCTCTTCCTGCCCCACTACCTGGAGGTCTTCTACTTTTCTTTTAGACCTAAGCCAGTTGTCACCTCCACCGGGAAGCCTTTCAGTGTTACCTTCTCCTTAAAATTTTGTGCCACAGTCCTTGACATATATAGCCATGCTAGCACTTACTGTGGTATTTTGTGATACTTCTTGTTTCCACACTCGGCCACGAGGCTGTGCTCTTGCGATAGACACCAGGATCTTCCATTGCGCCCGTAGCCTTTTCCCGGCAATAGGCCAGACCGTGGGGAATGCTCAGTAAATACCTCCTAAAGGGGAACAAAGGCAGGAAGCCAACCAGCTAACAGCCATTTGGCCGTAAGATGAGCCAGTCAAGAAGGACAGACTTTTGGAACTTGAAGGGACCTTGACAGTCCTCTAACCCCGTCACCCAGCAGCCACCACAAATCCCAGACCAGTGATGATCCTGCCTTAGCCCATCCTGGGGCAGCTCTTGCTATAAAAGTGTGGCTGGAGAAGACTTCAGAGACTGCCCTGTGGACAAGGTGAAGAAGTGAAGCTGTTGGCCCAAGGTCACTCAGCAATCAATCAGCAATGATGATGGGAAACAGAAGAGAAACGGAGAACGAGCTGTCAGAGCCACCCTGTCATCACCATGATCCTGAGGACTGTAGTCGTGACCATGTGGAAGTTTACGGTTGGGGATGCTGACTGAGGCTGCAGGAGGGTGAGTGGCCCGTGCGGGCTTGTCAGGCTGATAGATGGTACAGTACAGCGCAGATAGATGATAGTGTAGTGTAGTGCAGATAGATACAGTGACCGAGCAATCTCACTCCATTTTGCGATGCCCTGTGCCATTCCTGGATAAGATCCGGGCTTCCTGAAACACTGTGAAATGTCCTTCCTTCCAGAACAAACATTGCCAGAGAATCTGCTTTGAGCTCCCTTCCCCTTTATCACCCTCCTTTTTCTTGCCTTTCAGGAGAGAAGTATGAGCTCCACGCAGGAACTGAGTCCACCCCAAGTGTCGTCGTGCACGTGTGCGACAGCGACATAGAAGAAGAAGAGGATCCAAAGACTTCCCCAAAGCCAAAAATCATCCAGACCCGACGTCCTGGCCTGCCGCCCTCCGTGTCCAACTGAGCTCACCGCTCCGCCTCAACGATAATATCTGTCTCCTCTTTATCATGCTTTTTTTTTTTTTTTCCTCTGTTGTTTGTTTGTCGAAAAAAAAAATAATTGCCTTTCAATCCCTGGGTGTTTGGTTGTTTGAGATTCCTTCCTTGTAATCAAGCCTCTCGGACAAAAGGGCTAGGAAAAGGTGATATGTTTCCTGATCATATCATGTCCATTAAGTAATAATCCATTATTTAGGAGGTTCTAGAAAAAAAAAAGGTAGTATTTTCTTATTAAAATATCAGCACCATCTGTATCTTCATTCTCTCATGTCGATCCAAGCCAGAGACATCAGTGACAAATAGCACCCGTGTTGTTTGTGATCCGTTTCAGTCCCAGTCCTGACGTGTGTGCGTTGTTTCTTCCTGGCCACTTAAGTAGGACCATAAGTAAACTTGACTTTGACTGCATGAGATATCCCCATCTGGTCTCACTCAGTCCTCTGCATCCCGACATTCCCAGGACATGCATGATCACCAGCATTTATTTTCATGATTCGAGGATATACTCTAACTCTCAGACTGTCAGCATCCAGCCATGTTCTATGTAGACTAGAAAATTATCAGCATCATCCGGCTCAACAAGTCTGGGTATAGCCACTATTTTGAGTCCATCCTTCATAGCTCTGTTAAAATTCCTGGAGGCGACACTGAGCTTGGCCCCAAAGATATTCCTCCATAGATTTTGAACACCACTTCCGTAGAGTACTTTCCCAGACTCGCGGGGGAGGCTTGTCCAGGGTGAGAGACCGATTTCAGACAAACCTATTTATTACAAAAGTTTCACGGTGTCTGAATGATTGTTTTTTCTCTTTGTATATTTGTACAAATGTTTCAGCTGTGCTTTTAAACTCTGGATGTTTTTTATTTAGTGATTGTTCAGCCATTAGCTGCTTAAAGACATAACTATGTGCATTGCTTATGAATGCATTCATATACTAATACAGATAATCTGATAATATTACACTCTACTATGGGTAATGCTGAATTTTGGAACGGCACAAAACTTCTCATGCCAATATATAAATGACTAGCCAACATCTTTGCTATAAGAACACTCGTTTTTAAATAAAGGGAAGAGGCATGTGTCCGTCATAGACAATTTGGGTGAAGCTAGATCTCCAGAACTGAATATTTGAAACAGGAAGGGAGGGTAGATCAACAACATATACCAATCCTACTCATGCTATGGCCATGTTGCTCAAAAACATTTGTTTTCGTCACATGTGATATTTCTATTTCTGTAGCCCGAAGTGCATTACCGAAGATACACCTCTAAAACCATTACCTTCTGCTCTTTGTACAAGGCCTCACACCCGCCCCTGTTAATGAATTACTTTAGATGCAAATGCCAGTTACAAGGGAGTGGGGAAATACTTTCATTACCCAAGCCTCAGAAAAACACGCGAGAACAATAACACAGCCATCTTATGGAAGGATTGTTGTGGTTTTTGACTAAGGTGTACAGTTAGTTTCGGCAGAAACTTAAAACAGACTGATCACTCAGAAATTCAAGTCCGTTATACTGTGAATATAGCAATATCATACTGGACACAGTACAGGTGAAACTGAGGACAGCGTTGCTTGTAAAACCCTGAGTTTCCATAAGAAGAAAAAAATTCAGGCTCCTTTTAAAAATAAAATCTGAGGAGTGTATAGTAAGCAAATGCTTTGTCCTTTGCTGTGGAGGTTTTTGGTGTTTCATCAACAAATGAAAGATTAGACTTCGAAGTGGAGGAATGCTGCCCTCTAGTGGAAGAAATATTTTTCTGAGCTTTTGAGACCTGGCGGAGAACCGCAGCCGTCAGCCATTTTGTGCTGAGCCTCTTCACAGTCTTCTGCGGGGGTCGTTTGACTTCCTAAGCTACTCAGTTTTCAGAACGCAGGTTCTAAGGAAATTCGGATGAGGGGAAAAAAAAAAAAAAAAAAAACAAACAAATTTTTCTTTCTTTCATAAAATCAGGAATTACCTAGATGGAAATATGAATA